GAAATTCTCCCGTGGAGTGTGATTCGGCCAGAATATCAACTCCTAACGAGTGAATAACGCCCTGAGCATCAATATTACGGCCGTTCGGCGCAGATATGTCCAATCTCCTAGTAATAGGTCTCCTGATCACCACATGTGTAGAAAATCCTAGCAATAGGTCTCCTGATCACCACATGTGTAGAAAACGTTTTTCCAACAGCAGCTCTACTCATTGAAAATTGGTATAGAACTAGTTGTACTGAAGGCATCTGCCTGTTACTTGAGGACTTCTGACGCTGCAGTGACTGGTTCTACATAACTGTAACACCGCCCTCTATTTGATAGGCCATACGGTGGTGGCACATTGCCACTATGTTATCTCGCGACATATCGGACCACGTTATCACAGCGAACGTGCTCGCTTACTGCGGAAGTCGAGCTGTATAGAACAAGAGCTACCCATTTAAGCGTCAGAGGGCGCAGGCAAGTAGCAGGAGTGATCATAGTTAGGCATGTAGCTAGTCGTGTGGCGTGATGTGTATGAATCCTGCTCAACGCATAAGACAGCATTCAGAGCTCGCGTTGCAATGGTAGCTCGTCGACGCGCTACCATTGCAATCGCGCTCTACCAAGGGAGCGCAGCCACGGTGGGATATCCATCAAAGTCCGCCCTCCTGCATTGAGAGTGTAGGAAATCGGAGCGTACGCGTTGCCTTATCACACAGCCTGGTGCCGTCCTATTCCCCTACGCTCGCCCAAAAGTAGCGTCCGTCGCCGATCGATACCAGACTGTCGCTTCGATCGCGCGTCAAGTGAGTCTGTAAGCTGCCTAACGAACAGCGGACTGAGACAAGAGCAACCCTTTAGATTCATTTCCGTTCGGAGAGAAGTTGCTGACGAAGAAGTTGCCCATCCCGCCACGGAAACGATCCACTAGTGGGTGACGCCACAACGTGTCTTCAGGTTTGACAATTCCGATTGGACTGGGATATACTGGTGGCAAACTTCATCACAATACTACAATCAATATCAACAACAGACAACTTGATCGACATACAGGTTATGAGTTCTCAATCGTCATCAACCTGATTCCGTAGAACGATATGATAACGTGAATTTAAAGCTACACTTTGATCACACAGAATAGTATAATAGATAAAACAAGATACATTAGTTGATGCACGTACCCTTTCATCGTCAACAAAATTGCATAGAATAAAAGCTCAAATGAAATTGATATAGGCAGTTTATTAGTATGTCACACTGACTATTCACTAATAACGGCAGAACATGTTAGTAATGAAAGCATAAGGTAATGTAATTCAGTGATTTTGACGGCTGAGAATTCAAATGCGAGAATTTTCGGATAGACGAGAATTCTCTTCGGACGTTCTTAGCAGCGGATCGACGAGCCCTTTTTCTTTTTCAGTGGCTCTATTAGGAGTTTCAGCTTCTCGTGCTCGTTTCCTGAAACCACAGAACAGCGGTCATCAGAATTTAAATGGGACTACGTAAAAAAAAACTGAAAACATAAGAACGATTTTCAAGATATGTTTATATTAATATCAGTATATTATTATTAATCTATATTTATATTAATAATATTATTTCTTTCATAACTTGCATTTTGTTGTAGCTTATTTTATCACAGGAACAGTTGGCACCACCAAGTTGGAAATTCTTATTCCAGAACACTTTCAAGGAAGCGAGGTTGGCACTATTTACCCTTTACTGCCCCAGTCTTCCAAAAACAGGCCGGTTGATGACCGACTTTTTTCTCTGCGAATGGAAAGATAAAAATTTGTCCCGTGGGGTAGTTTCACCTCCTGAATATGAATATCGCATCCGCTCGGCCCGAAACCTCCTGGCGGCCGCGCTGTCGCCAAAATTACCCCAAATCACGGGCGCCTGTGGCGCGGGCGCCAGGAAGTTTCGGGCTAAGTGAATGTGATATTCGTATTCAGGGGGTCAAACTACCCAGGAGACAACATTTGAGCAAATCTGTCCACGGAGAAAAAAGTCGGTCAAAAACTGGCTCAATTCTGGATGGTTGGGGCAGTAAAGAGTAAATAGTGCCACGATGTTTAACGTGATGAGAAGCCCTGCTTCGTCCAAACAACTATTGTGGACTGTATGACCTTCTTAGCTGCGGACGCTGGGGCTGGGTTAGGCCTGTTGGGGGCTGGGTTAGGCGCGGCGTCAGCCGTTCCTCTGGAATTGAAGAAGCGAACGAGCTACAACAATTAGTGGAAAAGGGAGCTGGCGTCGCTCTGAACCCGCTTTCCCTCTCCTAGCCCATCCAAGCAACCGCAGTGAATAAGACTGTAACTTTAGGCGGACGCTTGACGCTACTGCGTTTATAATATTTTTTCACTTTTCAGCTATTACACACATGGACTTGAATGCACTTTCACGTACACTTGACTCCGCCCCCGACGACCTCGCCCTCTTATTATGGATTTATCGAAGTTCGTCACTTTATAACTTTATTCACCGACATTTGTTTCTAAGGATCTTGTCACAGATATAATCACATGAGAAGCAACTTTCATAGTGCCCACACTATGCCTCGCTTCCTCGCCCACACCCTTTTTAGAGATTTTAGTACCTTTTGAGGGCAAGTAGCGGGGTTTATCATCTCAAGATTTCCCACATATCGCACCTCCCTACCCTTAGAAATGGCTAGGAACCGTTCACAGCAAAAAAAAGAGTAAAGCACAGTAAAGGATTTTTCATGGATTGTGTTAGCAGGGGTCAGGTCTACAAGTAAAAATGTAAACCGAAATGAATATCGGTCGCAATTAACATCGAATGAGCCACCTAGGCTTTTAAATGTATTCACGAACACGATTGATGCTAAAAGCACGGCTTATTCCAAATGGACTGTGTAAGCAACTTTGCTCGCGTTGTTCTTCACACTCTTGGTAATAGAACATTTCAGTGCTTTCTTGAAACGCCGCTGGAAAGATTGGTGCTATCGGTGAATATTCTACCCCCCTCCCCCCCCCCCTCGAATGGGCTTTCCGATCTTTTCGGATTGGTAGCGTACTCGAAGTGGAACTACACTTATATTTCTCTTGCACAAAAATTCCAATTTTCCAACAACTAATTTTGCCTTCAAGAACTCTTCGAACAAGAAGCGAACATCGAAAGGTCGGTGTAACGGTAAGATTACTTAGTGAGAAAACCAGTCGCTTGGAGTTCTTTTCAAATTCCCTGACACGACATTCATGGGAATTGAAATTGGGTCTACTTTGAGAATAGCTAGGCGGTCCTGCTTCCTCGAAAACGTTTCTACGGGTATTTTTGAAAAGGCAGAACTAAATGTGATTTGTAGTGCAGTTTGCTTTATTCTAAGAACCAGTCTTACTTCCTTATAATGAAGACGACAATCCATGCAGCAATAACTGATACGAGAAATCCTAGAACAACGGCTGCCCACCACGGCATCGGGGCTTTCCATTCCTCTTGAGACTGTAACGGCGAAAACTCAGTTTTCATATAGCTCATAAACGGCAATCAGACGGTGCGGTGGGAGAAGGGGCGGAATGAGCCCGCCATCGGCTGCATTGTTCTGCCAATGGCGATTGGTTAGTGAATGATTTGGGAAGAAAACAACCAATAGCAAAAACGCTGCGGGTGGTGCATCCAATCCGCCCCGTCTGATAGTTAAGTTTGAACCGTACATCAGGCACATTCTAAAGAACCTCTCGATCGATATATGAAAAATTACCTCTCTGTTCTTGACAGCTTGTGTTGTCACTTCATATACTGTGATTAGTGATGAAGTGGCTTTTTTCTCATCTCCGGACGATTTCCTTGTTTTTTGCTGTTGATCATCCCTCATCGCCGGGGAGAAGAAGCCTCCCGACTCTGTCGCTTCTTTTTGCTCAGCGAATGACTCAACTCTACCCTTCGGGTAGGATGACGAACGAGTCGTTGTAGTAGTAACTTCGATTGGCATTCTCTGCATCGCAGGCCTCACAGCCTTGTACTCGCTCTGTGGTAAGTCTGGGAGAGGCCGGAGCTCTTCTAGTGGGATATGGTGCTTCCTGGTTGGTGGAACAGTCGTGGTAGTTGTAGTTGTAGTGGTGGTAGGAGAAGTGGTAGTGGTTGTAGTCGTAGTGGTGGGTCTAGTGGTAGTCGTAGTTGTAGAGGAAGTAGTTGTTGTGACGGGTTGTCTGTACCTGGTTGTCCGAGCGGTGGATGTAGACGTCGGAATATGCGAAGTGACTGGATGAACGGTTTTGGTAGTAGCTTTAGCAGTAGTAGCATGCTGTTTCTTAGTTGTAGTTGGCGTCGAAGTTGCAGCGGCAGTCGATGCTTGCGTTTCAGATGGTGCTGACTTCTGCGTAGACGTGCTAGTTGAGGAGGTCGAGGAAGCTGTGGAAGTGGTAGTTACAGTAGAAACCGTTGCCTCCTTCTCATTATTCGCTTCAGCTGATTGCTTTGTGTCCACAGGAACAGTTTCCTCCGTATTCGTATCGGAGACCTTTATCGTTGAAGGTGATGGTTGCTTCCTGCAAAAAATCAAATTTAACTCGAGAAATAGAGCTGTGAGGAAAAGTCAGATTGCCGCTTCATTGCGCTAGGAAAAGGGATTCTGTTGGGTTGAAAGAGCTGAGCGAGGGCCCTACCGTATTTCAATTCAAGACCTGGTGGAGGCACACTCGCGAAAAGAATAGGAAACGCACTGATCGGGAGAGGAAACCATTTTTCAGATATTCCGATAGTGGTTCGATAACAGATAATTCTATTTTCGTACTCTCCAGCCGTATCAAAACTCAGAGTCGCCTTTTTGCGGACGCCCCCAATTCTACTGTCATCCTTTTCCCCAGCTGGGCGGAGTTACTGGATGAAATGGACACCTTCAAGTTCCTCTCGCAGATTATCCGATTCTTCCAAACTGAAAGCATGTAACAGACTATGAACAATGCCAAAGAGTTTCAAACGCCTTGATGACCATCACTATACGGTCATTATCCCCACAAGCCAAAGGGAGTGTGATGGGACGTGGTTCGTAGCACAGCCAGGACGGTCCCTTCCACCAAGTGATCCGTTCCGAGCCCGCAACAGTAGGTGGAAAAGACTGTTCTGGCTGCGCTTCAACCCAGTTCCTTTAGGCTACGTTCATACTTTGCGGCAGCGTCCGCCAGCGTTTCGAGCGTAAGCGAGTAGGAAAGTATACATAGCTAATTTTTCATAAAATTAAAAATTAGATTAAAATTAATAGCCAAATTAGATCTTGAACAACTGTGGGTACAGAGGACCTCGATCACAAGAGGCGGTAGGATGAAATTTGATGTGGGTCGGGCCAAGTTGAGTTGCAGGCGGAACTTTTTCACTCACAGGGTAATCCCGTTATTCCAAAAGTTATGTAAAAAGTGTCCAATAGCGATATCTTACGGCGCACTTAAAAGATTTTTGAGTACGGCAAAGGGTTAGCGAAATCCCTTGGTCCTAAGCAGTTTTTTTTCCTCTGTCTTACGATACATTAGTGGCTGCTCCAAATTATTAGCTATTATGTGATTCTTGTTGGTGAGTTACATATTTTTATTTATTTTTATTTATTGAGTTAGCTTAAATGTCCTAGAGTGTCATTGATATTTGATTGCGTGACTCTTTTGTGGGATTGGTTCACACGAGGCTACTCGTGTAATAAATATATATATAATTCCGTAGATCTAGCGTCTGCTAGCGTCTACCAGCGTCCTCCAGCGTCTACCAGCGTCCGGTCAAGGAGAGTATGGCGCGATAGGAGGGTAGCAGACAGCTGGTAGAGTATGGGGAGATAGGAGGGTGGCAGACTACTGGTAGAGAGTATGCGCAATAGGAGGGTACCAGCTGTTTGCTACCCTCCAATCGCGCCATACTCTCCTATCCGCTGGCAGACGCGAGCGTACGCTAGATCGATACCTATACTTCCCTAGCCTCGAGACGCTGGTGGACGCTGGTAGACGCTGGAGGACGCTGGCAGACGCTAGATCGATATCTATACTTTCCTAGTCGCTGACGCTGCCGGACGCTCGGAACGCTGGTGGACGCCATTGGTCGCTGGTGGACGCTGCCGCAAATTATCAACACAGCCTTATACGCCCTTTCGTGTGTGGGGACAATGACTGCACCACATTAAATACCACGAAATTTCTGTGCGTTCCAAAGCGGAAAAAAAAGAAATAAGACGCCCCACAGTTCTCGGTCTCTGGAAATTAATTCTCCTACAACGCTCACACTTCCAGCAAACTCCGACCACTCGCAATTCCTTGAGAGATGCTGGCAACAATTTTGGTCTCAATACATAACTTTGTAACATCGCAGTCAGTGGGGAGGTGTGAGAAGGGCGGGATGAGCCCACCTTCGGCACCCTCGCTCTACCAATAATGATTGGCTGATGATCGATTTAGGAAGAAATCAGCCCGTTGTGGGAACGCTGCAGGTGTGGTCAGTCTATCCCTTCTGGAAGCGACCTGACTGATTGCAATGATACGAAATGTAACCAGTATTGCGGACTCCAAGAATTTACTTACATTTGATCCTAAGGGAACATGTAACCTTCCCCTGATTGAGGCCTACGGGATCACTTCTTACTATCATGGAAAGAACATTTGGTACCGCTGGGCTGCCCATCAACAACTTTTAATAGGGCTGATGATTTTGAGAGAAATCCTAAGGGTTCCGTCAGGAACTAGGCTAGGGTGTAGCTATTTTTGCAGTCTTGTACGGCCCTCCTGGAACAATGCAATTACTCACTCAGGACTTGTCGGCGCAACGGTGGAAATGTTCGCGGTGGCGAGCGTTGTCGTCGTCGTCACATCTGTTACGGAAGTAACAGCCTCAGCCTCAGTAGAGTTTTTCGGCTCATCAACGCAATCGTTCAGGCCTTTATAGCCGGCCGCACAGCCGTCGTCGAAACAGCAACACATGTGCTGAAACGAAATTATATAGTTCTCACAACATAATGTATGGAAATTCCCATTCCCAGTTCTGATGGTTTCGGATACTCGAGCGATCATCGACAACTGCACAGACAACTGCCAAGTAACTTCATACTAAAATCGATTCATGCATCGAACTGAGCTGTGAAAAGTAACGAGTCGAAATGGGCCATTTCTAGTGCGCCATGTATCTGACATCTGGAGGCCTCTGAATGAAAATTCCGAACCGAAAAAGATAGGAAGCTGGAAAAACCTAGGAAGATCCTAGGTGGGACGGGGTGTGAGTTTTCGAACTTTCGGCATCGGTATGACCCCGTCGAGGGGGTCATACCGATGCCGAAAGTTCGAAAACTATCTGCCCACCTCCAAATCCTTTCGAAGTCACAATATGCACTTAAAGGCATAAGACGCGATTATTTGGTCCTTGCACAAAAATACCAGCAGGTGTGCTATATAGTATATAGCCAAAATGGCGAAAAAAGCCAGGATAAACGGCCAAAAAGAACGACAAAAGCCTTTGTTCTGTACAAATTTAGCTAGCTTTTTTGGACGAGTTCCCCGTTGGCATCGCGCTAGCAACTGCCTTGATAGACACGGCTACCCGTGTTTATTCCCACAACCATACATCAACGCTTCATATCAATCGTACTTCATAAATAGGGATAGCAGCACAGCATCGATCGGACTGCACGGACAATTGTGGGAGGGCGAGAACCGTGGGCTCCGGATGGGGCCTTGAATTCAGTCCTGCTAGGCGTATTTATCGTACACGCCTTACGTATTGATCGTGCCACTTGCCTTCAAATATATTTACTTGAACCACGAACCCTATAAGGTTCATTTTTCCAGAAGAGCCGAAAGCGAGAGGGTGGATAGTAGTAACGCTGTTGGTTATTGCTAGGCGTGTGGCTGGCTGTGCGGCAGTGTGCATGGAGTTTGAAAGCGGCATTCGGGTGTCACTACTCCTGGGCTCATTCCCGTGCACTTTTGACCGGAAAAAGTGGCACGCTACTGCACCTGCGGAACAGTCAAAATGTCCACTCCATGGCCTTTCCTGTCCTGAATGAATGTGGCTTGTCCGTAGCAGGCCCTTCAACGCAGGCTACAATATACACTTCTTATCCCTGCAACGGAATAGGCGTGGCATTCGAACATGGCATAATGTGGTTACTCGTTGGATATTTCAGTTCAAGACCTTGTTCTGTGTCAGACGAAGGCTACCACCACATCCTTGGTTCACATCAAGTACGCAGCCACGCCTACCGCATCTCAGGGATTTCGAATGTACCTCCACAGATTTTATTTTTCAAATTTTTTGCTCAACGTAGTTCAATTGTATAATGTTCAGCACTAAATACTTACCAAAGAGTTCGACATGAAGCATTCGTTGTTACGACGTCCACGGCAGAGTTCTTCATCGGCACAACCAGCTCGATAACAACGCTATAACTCATAAATCGTAGTTTTCACAGTAATAGGCGACATTGGTAATGGCAAGAACGACATTGCTGTCAGATTGTGTCGATACTCCATAAATAGTAAAAAGAGCCTAGGGACAGGTTCGATTAGGAGGGTGGAAACCATATAATGTTATAGAGAGATACATTTGTCATCAAAATATGACCTTGATAGTCTCGTGAGGTAATCGTCGATAGAGAAGGGTAGGGGGAATAACAAATAGAATAGTGAAATAGCGGCGGGACAAATGTTGATCGCGCGTCAGAGCGACGACGTGGTTGAGTTCGTTCAAAGTGGTACATATCGAGTAATTACAGAGTACCCTACCAATTTCTACTATGCACTCTCGTTAATCGATGGATTAATGACGAGGACGGACGGTAAAGAGTAAGATGTCTATACTCAATAATACCATCGTTAGGATTATCTGTTCTTACGGAACTCGTTCCAGTAGGCCCTTCAACAACGGTTTATACTCAGTGGCTTCCCATTGTACCTGTTTAAAGGGGAAAAGGAAGGGCTATAGGAAAGCAGGACGTGTTGTACACTGGGGAATCCCCAACGAAGAGGAGGGAGCCTATTTGGCCGCTAGAGGAGGGAGGGGGTTTTATTTGCCTTTGTGAAACATTTCCCGGCTGTTGACATTTTTCGGCTTTTTTTTCCGTTTTAAGCGCGTTTC